CCATATCAACTTAAAAAATGTAATGACTTTTCACTCGATGATTCCTCAATAGAGAGAACTTTCAAAACTTTGATTCGACTTCATCCAAGAACCAAAAATTTGTTGGTTATTGTACCTTGACAAAAGGTGGTTCACCAGGTCCAGGAGATCTATAGAAAGTACCAGCCATAGGACTCTTGAGTGGAGGATGAGACGAGGATGGAGCGGCTGTTGGTTTTGCAGTTACGGGGACTGAGGAAGGAGTAGGAGAAGCAGGAGCCGCCACTGGTTGAGAAGGGGGCATTTGCATTGGAAGGCCGGCCATCGGAGGAGGCATTGAGTGATAAACTTGAGCTGGTGGTTCAGGTTGCTGTAAAGCTTCCTTTTTCCGAATAACAATCTCACAGTCGAGCTGTTTCAGTTCAAGTTCCACTATGTCTCTTGAATCCACAAGCCTTAACAAGATCAAAACGTTTAGTTTTTGATTTAGTTCGTCAAGGGGATGGTAATGATTCTTGGGATGTTGGACTTACTTAAGAAGACCTGAGACTTTAGCCATAAATTCAGAGAGCTCGGCGGGTTCAGCAACATTAGTCTTCACATTTCCGTTCAAATACCCTCCATTAGGCATTGGGGTAGAGTTAGAAACAACCTTGCATCAATACAGTAACAAGGTTACATTATAATAATGTGAAATGTATGGAACATTGTTGGTAAATGAATATAGCAGAATAAGCTTTACCTCATTAGCTGTGGCACGCAATCTCCAGATAGTAGATTGATTCTAATTTTAAGAGTTGTAGAAGAAAGTGTTAATGAATGAATGAATGCATACTAAATTCAAAAAGATAGCAACTTGATCATCATTGTAAAAAAGCCTCATTTCAAAATCGGTTGCATTCTCAATTCAAGACGTCACAAGTCCACACTAATCGAAACTTATAAACACTAAACTCATTCTCAATCTCTTCGTAAAGCCTCACACTTTTTTCACAGGATCGAGAGAAGAACCTGAGATGCATCGGAGGGGAAGGAGATTCTGTTGGGTTGCGGCGGCTGCAATCGTTGGGGAAAAGATCGGAGTAGGTGGTTCGAGGCACAGATCTTGGCGCAAGGAACAGACAATGACGACGCCATTGTTGAGACAGAGGAAATGCAGTGGACGATGAGACCGAGGAAGGAAATTAGAAGAGATATGAGAAAGTGACTTTGTGTTTTATTTTGCAAAAGGAATCTAATTTCGATGCTTACGAAGAAACCCAACTCGTTTTTATTAACTAACTTCACCAAACCTGTCAAGTGTTTTGACAACAAACGCTCCTTTGTCCTGTTTTCACCTTTCAGTTTCATTGTCTATCTTCTTTTTTTGTTTGTTTTCAACTTCATTGTGCCTCTCAGGGTCTGTAGGTCTATTGATGAATTGTTATTGATCAATGGCATGATCTTCTATCTAATCTGCATTCAGTTCGTATAATCCAAACAGTCTTTGATCCAAAATATTTAGTTTATCCAATCTTTTGTCATAATGTCTGCAAGGTTCTCAAACTCAACGATACCAAATTAAAAAAAAAATAAACTTAAATATAATTTCTCCACTCCCTTCAGTGAAAGGAAGGCGTCCATTTTATAAGACAAAAGGCAAAAGAGATTTACTCGGACAGCTTACAAGAATGGGTGTGGCTTTTGGGAAATATATCATCTTTATAAATAACCAATAATGTTAATGTAAACAACCAACCAAAAAACACTCAGTTTTCCCAGCCGGTTGGAGAAATTATGGATGAAATCTATCATCGCCTGTTTCTGCTCTGACCATGGAATCTGCCCTTCGACTGCGTAACGTTACGCAGTCGCATTGTGTGGTAGTCCTTTGAATTAGAGATATTAGAGTGAAGAGAAGAAAGAATAAAGGTATTAAGGGAGGCTCAGTAGCGGTTCCAGTAAGTTGTGCGTCTGAACCAGTTGTAGTCTGGTAATCCTTGGATCGGACCAATGGCTGAGATCGCAATGTCCTGCAAAAATCCCAGTATACTTAATCAGTGTCTTGGTTCTCTGGTCTTTTTTAGACTATAAACTAACCCCAAATTTCTTCAAAAAGAAGCAAAAAACTAACCTTGTCATAGATGTACTTGTTGGCAACGCGTTTCACCGCACCAGTATCAACAGCATCGATTCTTGCAAATAGTTCAGCAGTTGGGATTCTACGACCATATGTCAGCAACTGCAAAAGCACAAGTAGTTGTCTGGTGAGGTTGATTCTCTTCAAGAGGTTGTTCACAGACAAGATATGTCAACGAAAATGGATGTCATACCTGACGACCTATATCTTCAGCAACTGGAGTAGTTCCATCCAAGTGACACAAGAATGAAGACTTCAGCTGCAATAGGATGTAGAATACTTACAATGAGTACTTATTGAGTTTTCAACAAACCGATAGAGAAGCATAAACAATCACATGGGCTATTGAGTAAGAGAATGCTGGGAAAGATGGGAAAAAGGTTGTTTTACCTGATTCTGTGCACGTGTGACATCATCTTCTGAAACACGATAAGCTAGCTTGGTTACCTGATACATAATGGCATATGCTAAATCCTCCAGGCAGTCAGGCTGAAAAATATTACCAGGAGAAAAGGTAAAGAGACATGTACTCCTAACATATATCATAGAATCAAAACTTTTGTGTTAAAATGTGTTCGGTTGATTCACCTTAGCAACGGCATAAATGCCAAAAAGACCAGTATCCTTATAGTTGGTGTTGAATGCCTTTATGCTTTCAGCTATTTCATTAATGGCAACTCTCTGGGCCAGCTCAGAGCTGCTCAGATACATAAAACGATCACATCGTTTCCAGAAAACATTGATTGAAATCAACGGTTAAGGTATATTAAGTAGAACTAGAAGCAAATTCTCACCCCATGTGTCTGCCCCCACCAACACTTTTATTCCATGATCCCAGCATAGTTTGCATAACCATAAGAGAAACACAATCCGGATCTTTCCAAGATGGCGAACTCTGCCAGGGGTAGGTCATCATCAATCATACGGACCTGGCAATAATTTCAAAAATAAATAAATTAGATAGACGAAATACCACGGAAACACATACAAAAATCAATAATATCGGTTCTCTTAACCTCAGAGCCTGTAAAATTGGCAGGTTCCTTGTCGACCAACTGAGAAGTGGATGTTGAATCAGTGGACAACTTGGTAAATAATTTCTTCACTTGCTCAACGATATCCTCGTGTTTGACAGCTCCTGCAGCAGCAATAACCTGAAAGACGAATTCTCGATAGATCAACGTGAAAACCAAACAGAAGCCCACAGCTGATAGCAAAAAAGATAAATATTTGTATGGTTTTTCAAAACATTACAATCCTGGAAGCTGTGTAGTGAGTCTTTATATAGTTCTGAAGATCGTCCCTGGTGATCGATTTGATATTCTGGGGAGGTCCCAATATAGTTCTTCCCAGAGGTGTATGTTGGAAGGCAGTTGCATGCAAATGGTCAAACACAACTTCCTCTGTTTTTCCCTCAACCTTACAACACAGGAAAAAACAAAAACTTCAATGTCATCACAGCTTGTTTTCTCCTAATGTTCTATAAGCAACTCAACATCTACCTAACAATGAAATTCAAGAAAAGAGCAAACTTTACTGATTACCTCCTGCATTTCCCTCAAAATCACGCCTCGCTCATGTTCGATACTCGCCTCTTTAAACTCAGACTTCTGCAAGGTATCAGCCAACACATCCAACGCCTGATTCACATTCGTATCCAACACTTTAGCGTAAAATGTAGTATGTTCCCTCGATGTATACGCGTTCAAATGACCACCAATGTTCTCAATTTCTTCCTCCAAACCACTCCTGGTTCGCCTCTCAGTACCTTTGAAAATCATATGCTCCAGAAAATGAGCCGTACCGTTTGTCGATTCCGACTCAAACCTCGATCCGGCGTCAATCCAAACCCCGACGGTTGCGGTTTTCGCCGAGAGATTAGACTCAGTGGCTATACAAAGGCCATTGGGCAAAGTGGTAACACGAGTCTCCGGTGCAGCCAAGATATGATCGTGGGAAGCAAGTGTTGGGTTTGGGGAAGCGTATTTGAGGAATCTCGTGTCTGGATTCTCGAGCTTTTTCAGCTTCGATTTCACAGTCTCCGAAGCTTCGTCGTAAGGCATAATAACATGAGGGAATGGAGAAGGGGAAGGAGTCGCCGGAGATGTAAACGGAGAAAAAACGGCGGCCACGGCTGAAGAAGCCGATCGTATCGCTTGATTGAGACATAAACGTCTCTGCGACCTTCGAGCCAAGGTCAGTAAATGCTTCATCGCCATGGCTAAATTAGCTTCAGTAGCTCACTAGGGTTTGATTATGAACCCAAAATCACTACCAAGAAGAAAACGGCGGAGGTTAGTTGAAACGACGTCGTATGTTGTTTTAACCTCATTTAAATTGATCTATTGGGCCGAGAATAGGGCCCAATATTAAAGGTTAATACGGGTCGGGTTTAATGTGATTAGAAGTTAGACCCGGACCGGGGAAAAAACCCTAATTGAAAATTGGACTGCTTAGATATATATACAATCTTCTTGCGCAGAGAGAGAGAGACGGAGTGATTCAGGTGAGTTCTTCATTTCTTGTGCAATGGCGGTTGGTAGAACTGTGAAGGATGTTTCTCCTCACGATTTCGTGAAGGCTTACGCTTCTCACCTCAAGCGATCTGGAAAGGTCAGTGGCTTGTTGCTTCTCTTTTGAGTTTGATTCTTCAGTTTTTGCTCCATTGAGAATCAAAAGGAAGATCAGATAAAAATAGTCAAGTTTTAAGAGGAAACTCGATAGAGCTTCTGGTTTTATGTTGAGTTTTGAGGCATTGCATCTGTGAAATGGCTGAAGGAGATAGATAGTAATGATAATGTCTCGATTTGATGATAATTTCACTGTTGGTCATAGCGAGCTAAATGTTGTTTTATGTCTGATTCAGATCGAGCTTCCTCTGTGGACAGATATTGTGAAGACTGGTCGTTTGAAGGAGCTTGCTCCATACGACCCTGATTGGTACTACATTAGAGCTGGTCAGAAAGAAAGCTTATCTTTTTTCTCTGTTTGTGTTTGTGTTGTTTCTTATTATCCTTTTATAGAGTCGGTGTAAGTAATGTTGATCTCTTGTTGGTGTATAGCTTCAATGGCTAGGAAGATTTACTTGAGGGGAGGTCTTGGTGTTGGTGCTTTCCGAAGAATCTATGGCGGTAGCAAAAGAAACGGAAGCCGACCACCACATTTCTGTAAGAGTAGTGGTGGTATTGCTCGCCATATTCTCCAACAGTTGGAGACAATGAGCATTGTCGAGCTCGACACAAAAGGGTAAATATTTTTTTCTTTGTAAAGGCTCTTTACATAGCAAGAGCCTGTGAATGCCTAACCCTACTCTCTCAATCTTTCGTTCTTGTCTCAGAGGAAGAAAAATCACGTCAAGTGGTCAACGGGATTTGGATCAGGTTGCTGGGCGTATTGCTGCTGCTGAATCATGAAGAAGTGAATCTTGTTCTCCTGATGCTTCTGCTTTGGGTTTTGGGGTTTTGTGATTTTAGATCTTTACTGTCTACTTTTGTGTTCTTCATCTGGTATTTTGAAGCTGTTTAAGTTTTGTCCTCGACCGTGATTTTGTATCCCAAGTTTACTTTTTCTTTATAGAAATCTCAAGAAAGAGCTTGTATTCTATGAAGCTCTTTTTGAACTGTCAGATAAATGCAAATTCGAACCGGAGGATGTTGTTATATCATTTCCGATGCAGATCTAAACCAGTGTAAACTGGATTATACAAACAAATATGAAAAATTGCTAGATCCTTCCTTGGGAGGAAGTTTGGCCTTCAAAGTTTGATTCTTGGTAGGAAAGAATCTTACTTTCCTGACGAAAAATATGTATGGGTCCAGAATTAACAACAACAAAGAACAAAAAATTGCTCACTTTTATTTATGATGTAGACCAGGTTATTTTACAAGCGGAACAAACAATAATGATTGGCAGATCTAGAAAATTGCAACTAATTGGTTGCCTTCATTGAATCTGTTACAGAAGATGATGTAGTTTTAAAAATGAGAATATGGACAGGAAAATATTACTCAAGTGAAAAGAGGCTGTTTTAGAGAAACTGATAATGGAGATCACTCATGCAGGAGCCAGTTTCACTCCAAGAAGATGAGCTGCAGCATCTGATCTTCTTGTGTTGCGGGATGTGAAACTTGGGATCTCGTGGCGCAGTCGGATGTTTGTTTGACCTTTTCAATGGTAAAAGAAAACAACAAGAAGTTTGCAAATAAGTAATTCAACTGTTATAAGAAGGTTCTCTCTATTAGTTGTCTGTCAGAACTCAAACAGATAATGCAGCCTATGATCGTCTATGATGTGTATAAGAAATGAAATTTTTGAGAGCACAGTATTTATCTACCAGTTTTGTTACCTTCTTGGAATGAATGGTCGATCAAAGTAAGGCATTGGTTGCGCTTTTGGGACCAAGTCTTTCCTCAGCCTTCTGATCTCTTCTTCCTCTGCCAACTGAAAGAAACAAAGAAGAAACACACCGGCAAATGCTTGATTAGCAAGACCCTATTACTATTGGATATGGCCAAAGCATCTCAATACAACTTTACCTTTTGTTGCCTTTCTCTTTCCATTTTGTACTGCTCAATGAAGCTCATCTTCTCGGCAACCTAGAACAATAAATTCACTCTTTAACATGGAGAGATTCCGTGGAAGAATACAAAATTATTATCGATAAGACAAACTTGGCAATAGTACAACCAGCTTAAGCTTAATAAGAAAACAAGTATTCACTAAATGACTTAAAAAAACATTCTGTTTCAACACAACCAGCTTAACGTTAATAAGAAAATAAGTATTCCCTAAATGACTTAACACTATCCAGCGGTTATATTTAAAGGTATCTTAAACTCTATGATGGGGATTTCGAAGTCCAAACCCAACAGATTGTAGATGTTACTCATTGGATACCAAGGTTTACCTGGTAATCAAATTCTGCGCGTTCTACTGCCCTGACATCTGAATGGAGCGTCAAGTCGACTGGTCTTGTGATATCTTTCACATGAGGCTTAATCAGACACTGAAACAGAAAAAATTACTAGAATGTTAAAATGGCAAGCTCTTCATACTTAACAAGATATCTTGCTTTCGTTTCCCACTTAAGTTCGCCGAATTCTTCATCTAGATATCACACCAACAAGATTTGAACTACACAATCTTAAAATTGAATTCTCTTGGAGACAAGATCAATATCAAACAGTTCTAGTTTGGCCTTTAAATCCTACAGAAAGTTCCAAGTCACTGCTCCTGAGTCCTGACTCGAGCTTAAGGTAAAGTTAATAGGAAAGCAGAGAATGCTTACCTCAGGTTCATCGGTTGTCCATGGAAGACCTTGAGCAACGGGGATTCTCAACTTTGCTTCCTCCATCATTATTTCCTGAAGCTTCTTTGAAAACTCCTCCTCCTTCATACGACCTCTTTGCTGCAAAAAAGCAAAAGACCAACTAAATTCCTACCATGTACTCGGAAACTTTCTCTTTTGATCTAAGAAATTCATACCTCAGTTCTAAGATTAAACGGCTTCAATGAAGTAACCTTAACCTGCTTCTTCTTTGATCTTCTGCTTCCCATTGTAGTCGATGAGTCCAAGCTCTGCAATGAACATATAATCAGGATGTATAAATCATTACACAACTAAGAAAAACCAGATGATACAAGCAACATACATTTCTTCTACTTCTCCTTCCAGCATTTGAACTCCCACATAAAACACTGAAACATCACCATAGATCAAACAATTCAGAACAAGGTAAAATCAGAAAACTAACAACAGTTCATAATTCAAGTAAAGTCCTTTGGTCATCAACAAACTAACCTGCCGTGGCTGCTGTCCCATGAGGAAGAAACCGAGGCATTGGGGTCTAACCCGAGACTCTTCGCTGTTATGACCAATTCAGATGGAGAAAACGAAGAACTCCATGGGTGTTGCTCTTTCTCTCCCTCCAAGAACTTAGGCTGTTGTCTCGCTCCAGGCAACGATTCCCACTTCACCTGCTTCTTCAGATCTTCTTCGGTTTGGTTCTCTTCTTTTTTCTCGGCAGTCTTTGAAAGGGTAAAGCAAGTGAGCTTCTCAAATGCTTCTACAAGATTCATCACTTTACCGGATTCAGGCACACTTCGCCTTGCATCTTCCACCACCTTTGCCCTTGACCTCTTCATTGTAGAAACGCCTAATTTCTCCGGTTCACCGAAATCTTCTCCATCTCCAAAATTTTCTTCGAGATTACAGGATTCCTCCAAACCTCCCTTTTCCTCTTCCGATTCGCTTCGTTTTTTGAAGAACTCCTCTTGCGAAGCACGTAGTGTTTCGTATGCAACACAAACGCACTTCATGTTCCCTTTCTTCCTCTCTCCGCATTTACAATCAATCTCAGCAACAGTCGATTCGGTAGTCGCTGGATCCTTCTTTCCCTTCTTCGAATTCTTCTTCGCCACCACAACAAACCTCCTCTCTCTAATCCGATTGCGAGGAGAGAAAACCGCCTGGGTAGGTTTAGGGTTCGGACTATGATTCTTCTGCGCCGATTTCTTAGCAGATTTCACGAGCGGGGATACTGCGGATTTCGTCATCGGAGACTTACCCGGACTCGCGTGTGAAACGTTAGGGTTTGCATTCTCCGACGATCTGAAATTCTCTTGAGCCTTGGGCTGATTAAACTTGCTCCGATCCTTCACCGGAGTCCCCAATTTCCCATTCTTCAAATTCAACGACTCCATCGAAAGATAACAACAACCCAATCTGCGAAATCAAAAAAGTAACAACGAAGATAAGAACAATAATCGCTCTTGATTTGAGAATTAGGGTTTTTTCCTTTTCAATGGAGTAATGTAAATTGAATTAAGAAGGGAGTCGAAGAAGAAGAAGATAGATTTGGGGGAAACATAAATGTGACCGTTGCGGCGTTCTTTGGACGCTCTCAATAACGGCTAGTCTTTTTGTGTGCTTTTTTTTTTT